AATAAAGGCCGAATCGCTGAGAGTGCTCAAGGACATATCAAAAGTGAATATCAAGGGTGCTTCGAAAATTGGAAAAAACGCTGGCATAAGTGTATTATATCTGGGGGGGACTACTTTGAAGGGGACACATTAATGTAGACGAATAAATAAATATTTTTTTGAAAAAACGAAAATTCCGGGTACTTTTTGAACAGACCTCGTATGTAGATATTATATATTAATTCTATTTCTATTTAATTCAACTTAATTTTGTTTGTCTTTTTTTAGTAAGTTCAGCAGCTGAAGTAAATGAGATGGCCCAACGAGCACTTATGCGTTTAAAACAGAAATTGTTGGGGACTGAAGAAGGTGTTGGAATTGGAATGTCTTCAATTGAGGGACAGGTAAAAATACTAATGTCTCTAATTACACTTTCTACAATATTTATATCTATGATGATAGTTTTGTCCACGTTGATACATATTTGAACGTTTCGACACTTGATGTGTGTCATCATTCAGTAATCTAAAAAAACATATTACATAAATACAAAGTTGATGATAAATATAAATATATAAAAAGGAGGAAATTATACATACCAAACCAGGAAAAACAACCGAAAAAATTAATTATGATGTAAAATTGATTGAACACCAAATTTGTGTAAAATAATAAAATACTATTATATTAACAACGAGAAATTGAAGGAGGCACATATTGCCCTCCTATATTTAATGTTATTGATAGCATTGCATTGTGGATACTGATCAAGGTTACAAAGCAAGTGTGGTAGAGTGAGTGGATGCGGGGTGTGATAAACGAAAGGGGAAAGAGAAACAGAGAAGAAAAAATAACGAATGAAAGATTCTAAACTGTATAGAATTACTTTTCATGAAATTAATGATGACTTTGTAACTGTCATGTAAAGAGATGAGAGGAATTACGTTTGTTTACACAAGAGGTATTAAGGGATATAAGTAAAGACTCAACTATCTTTCTAAGGTCACATTTTTTTTCTATGTAAAGGATGGAAGGATTTGACATGTTAAAAGTGTGGTTCAAGTTAATCATATGTTCTGTAAGCATTGTTTTGAATTGGTTTGTGTTTCTAGAATTATATATATGTTGATTAACCCTTTTGTATATATATTGTATATAGTTGTTACATTGATGAAAGTTTGCAATATATAAACACGAGGGTTAATCAACATATATATATATAATTCTAGAAACCTAAATCAATTCAAAACTATGCTTTCAAAACATATGATAAACTTGAACCACACTTTTAACAAAAATTGTTATTCGTTATTTTTTCTTCTCTGTTTATTTTTCCCTTTCGTTTCTCACAACCCGCTCCCACTCCTTCACTACACTTGCTTTGTAACCTTGATCAGTGCCCATAATGCACCGCTATTAATAACATAAAATATAGGAGGGCAACATGTGCTCCTTCAATTTCTCGTTTGTTAATATAATAGTATTTTATTATTTTACACAAATTTAGTGTTCAATCAATTTTATATCATAATTAATTTTTTCTGTTGTTTTTCCTGGTTTGGTATGTATAATTTCCTCCTTTTTATATATTTATATTTATCATCACCTTTGTATTTGTGTTATATGTTTTTTAGATTACTGAATGATGACACACATCAAGTGTCGAAACGTTTAATGGAATAAATGATTTTGTTATTGAATCTTTTTTTAATTCGACGATTGGGCTGCAAAAATATTACAAAAACTTATATATAATGAGTTGATAAATTAATAATAATAATATGTACAAACAAATGAAAACCTTAGACAACCATTTTTGTTTTTTTTTTTTTGTTAATGTATTATTAGTTACTTTAATGTTAATGTATTAACTATTCCTATTTCAATTATTTTTTCTAGGTTGCGAGATTAATTCACGAAGCTACAGACCCGAGTAACTTGTGCAGACTGTTCGTTGGATGGCAACCTTACCTTTAAGATATTATTAATTTAATTTTGAAAAACTCACTTTGCCAGTGAGTAAGTATTATTATTATTGTTATTTTTAGAATAATTTTTATATCGTAATTGTTAAAGAATAAAAGTATTATTTATTTCTATAAAATGAATTATCTTTTATTCAAATATTTTGCATCAATAACAATCATAACCTATAATATGATATTATATTATCTTAATAATATTTTATAATTTGATAAACATTTATTAACTTCCCGTAGGGTAAGTTATTGTAATGGGCCGAAAATCGAAATTGAAAATTTTTACATTTCTCGACGTTTTGAAGGTTTCTGAACATTTTGCATACCTCAGAAAAATGGATGTGTGTGTGTATGTATGTATGCTACAATTTTTCGTCCACGTTTTTCGGCGCACGGATCAACCGATTTGAATGGTTTGAAAAATATTCGATTCCTATTGATAGGGAGATGTGCTGATTAGTTTTTGGCAAAGGCAGGTCCAGCCATTATGGAGATATGGAGCAAAGAGTGCAGAAAATAGAAATCGAGTTTTGAGAGAACGGATCATCCGATTTGTATGATCCAAAAAGCATTCATAATAACGGGGGAAAGTGGTATTAGTTTTTGACATGGTATGGTAGGGCCCAGCGTTTCGGAGATACAGAGCTAAATGTTAAAAAATGGCAGTTTTTGAGAGAACTAAGCGTCGATTTAAATGATTCAAAGAACTTTCTGCTAGTTTCAACAAAATAATCGCTTTTGAAAAAAAAATTGTTTCTAATTTTTTTTTTCAAAAAATATTTTGTAATTTTGGATTACAAATTCAAAAAATTCGAAAAATTACCCAGGCTAAGCACATTCTAAGCGCCACTCTGGTGCAATGCTTACTCAAGTGCGTTAGACTGTTTATGTACTGGGAGGAGCACTTTTCCATTTTGTGAAAAAACAAAACTATTGAAAAATGTGAAAATGCAACCAAGCTAAGCATAATATAAGTGAAGATATCGCACAGAATTATTTCAAATGCGTTTAGACTGTGAGTATACCGAGGACTTTTTCAATTTTGTGTAAATTAGGCAACTATTTTTTTTTTTAAAACTGAATTCGAAATGAAATGACGATTGTTAATGTCTGGAGATAAATTGATTTATGATTTACATTTGATTTGCTCAGATATAAACAAGATAGCAAAAATAATGAAAGTTCACAGTATTTGTTGTAATAATATATTTGAAAACGTTTAAAATTTCTCGAATATTTCATTACGATATGGGAAGTTCCAGCAATTTGCCATAAGGCACGGTGCCATGCGCCCCACTAGTTTTTTTATATTTTCTATAAATGTAAATGTAAATAACAATTTATTATATTTTTAATTTATATTATTATTTAAACACAGTCAAAAGGAATGGGATAAAAATTAAAGGTTTGTCACACAGCACAATATGTCCTCGTGTAGATGGTGTTTAGTTTTATTATTAAAATTTTGCACAAAATACATTAATATACATATTAATTAAAAAGTAGTGGTGTATGGCATCGTGCTTTGAGGCAGATTGCTGGAACTTCCCGTACCGTAATGGAATATTCGAGGAGTATTAAATGTATTCAAATAAATTATTATAGACAATTGAAAAATGCGAAGAAACTAATTATATCAAACATTTAATATTGCTAATAGCTTTACTTGTTTTATATATTTAAAATAGTTAATTATAATTCAAATATATCCGTTACCCTGTGTGACAGGTTCCATAGACTCATAATTCTTTTCTTTCGCCTAACTTCGCACTCTACGCTTTATAAGTCATCTTACATCTATGGCAGTAACTTTTTTGCACCGAGACAAGAAGTCGAATTGTTGATGTTTATTTGATTTATTTTGTTTAAAAATTGTGCAATAATTGAGTGGAATTTATATATTTAAGGTGTTGTTATTTAAATAAATAGACAACCTGTAAACATGGTGAGTGATCGTTTTAATAAAATCTATGTGGATAAAAAAATATTGAGTTTTAAGTTTCAACTTTGACAGATTGTCACGCCCTGAGGTACTATTTTTAAACGTATACGTGGATAAAAAATAATGGAAATTGGGATAAATAATTGATAAGTAATGATTAATTTATATATATTAAATTCAAATTTATATTAATCAAATTTATATATATTATTAATCAGTGATTTATAAGGCTGTAACTTGAGATGCTTTCTCTATATTATAGAAGAATTTTTTTTGCATAAATTTTGCATTAAAGTAGATTACATTTTTCAGATTTCACTTTGAATTATTATTATTATTAATATATATATATATATATATATATATATATATATATATACACATAAGATAATTTCATTATCTATCTCATTATCAATTAAGATATGGAGTTATTTTCTTTCAGACTGAATTACAAATGGACTGCGCTCTGGATTTGATGAGAAGACTACCTCCACAGCAAATTGAAAAGAATTTGAGCGATCTTATAGATTTGGTGCCTGCTCTTTGTGAAGACTTATTATCATCTGTCGATCAGCCTCTTAAAATAGTTAAAGATTCCAGCGCGGACAAAGATTATTTACTCTGTGATTATAATAGGGACGGAGATTCATATAGGTAGGAGGAAAAATAAATTATTATTTATTTATATATATATATATATATATATATATATATATATATTTTGAAATATGTGAGTTTGGTGTTGATATTATATTTTGATAGGTTATTTAAAATCGGGCAGTAACACTACTTACTATCGATATGTTGATGACATCATAACATGCATCCCAAACAGTGACACAACAACTCTGGTAAATTCTTTTAATGCCCACAACCAACACCTACAATTCACTTATGAATTAGAAAATAATAAATCTATCAGTTTCTTAGATGTACAACTCTTTCGCGATAACAATAATATAATAACTGATTGGTATCACAAACCAACATACTCAGGCCGTTATCTTAATTACCACTCTTATCACCCCCTCTCTATCAAAATAGGCACAATCATAAACTTAATTGACCACGCATTATTATTATCACACAGTAAATTTCTAAGAAAGAATCTCTCTCTCATTTCACAAATCCTAACCAAAAACTCCTACCCACACCACCTCATCCAATCCATAACAAAAAATAGAATCTTATATCTCCAAAACCGTCACAATAATTTAATTGATAACCCAAACCTTGAAAACTATGTAGGAACTATAAGTTTACCTTTCATTAAAGAATTACAGTACCCGTGGAGAAAACTTTTCAATAAAAATAACATTAGAGTAGTTTTTAGTTCCGAAAACACTTTTTCAACTCTTTTTACAAAATTAAAATCAAAATTTAACCCGAGAATGTTAAGTAATCTAGTTTATAAGCTTAATTGTCTAGACTGTAATTGCGTCTACATAGGTGAAACTAGTCAGAATCTGCACAAAAGAACATCTCAACACAAAAACAATTCTAAAAATAAAAATCAGAATAAAACACAATTAACAGATCATATTAACCAACTCAAACATAACATTGATTTTTCCAATCCCACGATCCTACATTTCGAAAATAATTTATTTAAAAGACGATTTAGTGAAGGATGCTTAATATCTTTACACAAGGATACAGCCATAAATTTAAGAACTGACAACAATTCGCTTTGCAATGACTATAAAATAACTCTCGACTATTTTCAAAAACGCCACCATATCTGAATGAAGCGTGTATTTTTATTACTTTATTATTTTACAAAAAACATATGTCTGCTGGTCTTTTTACACTTTCTCAAAAAATTGTAAACACAATTCATTCAGTTTTTAGACATTAGTCAACTTGTACACACTAGAATGTAAGGAAAAAAATTGTTCAAAAAAATTAATTAGTTTAAATGTTCCAATTATTAATAGCCTGGTTTATCACAGTATAATAGTGTAGTGTATTTTTTGTATAATTAATCCTGTAAGTACTTATATATAAGTTATAACTTTATATTATTTCCTCCTACATCATATAAAATCTTTTAGTTTTCCACTGAATGACGGTCTCGATGAAGACCGAAACGTATGGATAAATAAAGTACTTAAAAACTACTTTAGTTTTTTTTTTTCTTTACTTGGTGTTACTGCCCGATTTTAAATAACCTATCAAAATATATATATATATATATATATATATATATATATATATATATTAGGTTGTCAAATATCTCCCTTCCGCTTTTTTGCTCTTGGTTTATAATACAAAAAGGCGGAAGGGAGATATTTGACAACCTAATATATATAAATAATAATTAAATATATATATATATATATATATATATATATATAAATGCATGATTATTATTGTTTTAGGTCACCATGGTCAAATACATACTTCCCACCCCTCGAAGATGGTTCCATGCCTTCAGAACGAATTAGGAAAATAGAAATTGATGCAAATTATGCTTTTGATCAATACCGGGAAATGTATTTTGAAGGAGGTGTTAGTTCAGTATACTTATGGGACTTGGATCACGGTTTTGCAGGTAAACATATATATATATATATACTAGCTGACCCCGCAAACGCTGTTTTGCCATCAAAAATATTTTGCCGCTTTGCAGAAGTTCATATAATATACATGGTATATTAATAATAATGTTATATTTTTATTACACAAATTTCTTTACACTTCGATAATTAATTCGAACGCATCATAATGCTTTGTTTATTTTAATTTTATTTATGTCAAATAGTGAAATATTTTTTTAATCAATGAATAAATTAGATTTTAGTCTGAATCAACGCAGTACCATTATCTAAATATATAATACTTTATATAAATATCAGATTTTTTAATTTAAAAATATTGAATGTCAATTTCATATATCCAATATGCACTAAAGTTTTAAATGCCAAAATATTTCCTATAAAATTGAAATTTAATATATTATGATATAATTCATATCTATAATTTGATTGCCAATATTGCCTATAACATAACTTGGAATAATTAATTTATTTGTATCTTATTGAAGTCGTTAAAAATTCATTTTTTTTTTGAACTGTCAGAATTTTGTTTATGATTAATGTTAAATTCAATATGTCACATTTTTATTTTGATCTATAATGTTTTAATCACTTATCATATAAATTTTCGACTATAAATTGATATTCATACTATCCTTGAAACTAACATAGATAAAGTTCTGAGAAATCCGAGTCCAAATCTATAAAATGTTTGATTTTTGGCATTTTTGTTAATTTTTTTTATCAATTTTCGTACTGTAAAATAATGGATGATTATTTATCAAAATTGTAATATTTAGACTATAATTTTAGATGAATATACTATCTATTTTGGCATAGCAATTAGTTTTTTTCTTATTTGAAATCAAGTGAAACATAAATATCTTTATTTGATATTTTTCCATAAATATCCGATTTATGACATTGTTTTCAATTATTTTTAATTTATTTTGAATTAGCAAATGTCAAAAAATATAATTAAAATATTCATTAAATATTGTCTAGAAATAATGTCATTTAATAAGTATTATTTATTACTTTGGTGCGTGATATGGATATGAATTTGTAATAAAATATATTCTTTCTGACAAATAGTTAAAAACTTGTTATAATTTTCAAAATTATTTGACATTTCATACTTTCAAAATTAATTCATTAGTCTAAATCAACGCAGTATCATTATCTAAATATACAATTTTTTATATAAATATCAGGTTTTTTACTTTTGCATTTAATTTAAATAGTTAATGTCAATTTCATATATGCAATATGCACTAAATTTATAAATGTCAAAATATTAATAATATGATAATATTTATTTTACAATAATGTTTTGTATCTATAATTTGTTAGGCAATATTTTCTATAACATAACTTGGAATAATTAATTTATTTGCTTCTTATTGAAGTAAGCCATTAAAAATTTTTTTTGTGTAATGTCAAATTTTTGTTTATGATTAATTTCAAACTCAATATGTCGCTTTTTTATTGTGATCTCTGATCTGTAATGTTTTGATGAAGTTTTGGTTTCCGAAATAATTTAGTAAGCTAATTAATTAAATCGAAATCGTAAATCTATTTATATAATTATTTTCATAAATACTGACAAATGACATTTAATTTTTTATATATTTATATAATTAATTAAAATTATATATTTATATTTGAAATTTACTTTTCAAAATTTCCTATAACCTAAGTTGGATATATATGCACACGATGAGTCAATAAAATTTAAAATCGGTTCAGTAGTTTGGGCGTCCATCGCGAACCAACATCGTGACACGAGATTTATATATATATATAATATATATATATATATAATATTAGTTAATATATATATCAATTATGTTTATTTATTTCAGGTGTTATATTAATTAAGAAAGCAGGAGATGGAAGTAAAAAGATCAAAGGTTGTTGGGACTCGATTCATGTGGTGGAAGTTTTAGAAAAATCACGTACTGCACATTATAAACTGACCTCAACGGTTATGCTGTGGTTACAAACAAACAAACAGGGCAGCGGGACTATGAATCTTGGTGGATCACTGACACGACAAGTAATGATATTTATTTAAAACTTGATTGTTCTGTACCCATGTCTAATATTTACCGCCTACCTAAAAATAATAATTATTGTTTTTTAAATTACTCCTCATACCAAAATGCATATACATTTATAATATGAGCGATGTTAAATGTAGAACTGCTTTAAATAAAATAAAAAGTCTCAATTCCCACACTATATTGGAAATTGAAGTCTTTTAAACGGTAAAACATAACCATAATCATAGCATAACACTGTTACTTTATGTGGAACGGTTGAACGGTAAAACATAACCATAATCATAGCATAACACTGTTACTTTATGTTGAATTATTAATTTAATTTTATATCATTTAACTTATCCAAAATTGCATCTTAAACTTCTCCTAATCGATATCGTTAGGGCCGAATTGTATGTATTCATCTTTACTTTCCCATTTGTTGTTATAAAGTGAAATTTTTACGAATTTTAAAAATATTGTGGAAAGATTAGTAAAAGATGCAAAGAAATTATATATTGAAAAAAAAAACTGTATTGAAAATTTAATATCCGAATCTTGTGTTGGCGCCCCCTAAGGCGTGCGCTCGTATTTCTCGCATGCGTCGCATTAAAGGTAGGACCGGCCCTGATTAATACATAATTTCATATTTTAAGTGAATCAATTTGTCATATACTGTTCATATGTGTATCATTCAATCTGCCATACATATACTGTATTTTATATTATTTTAATTTCTGGCACATCTCAGCAGCTTTTTGGCAATAATAATGTGGACATTTAATTTTCTTATTCATAATCATAAATTTATTATAAATATTCTTATATTGTCTAGGTTCATAAGTGAATTGAAATTTTTGGCAAATGATAGTTTTCATTTATTTTCAATGCAAACAATGACATGTCGTTTTTTAATTTTTTTTTCCATTTATTTCTACAATATTGCACATACACCTCAGTACTTTATAATCACATACATCCTAGAAAATTTTCTTAACAAACTTCAGAAAGATTTATCAAAATCCGAATAATCGTTTAGAAGGAGTATACAGTGAGTGCTTGTAATTTAATATGAACTTTATATAATAGCAATAAAGCTCAAATTGATTCTATGTTTTTAGTTAGAAAACGTTTGTATGAGAAAAAAAGAAAAGGGCTGTTTTAGGGTTTTGCCGGCAATTATTCGATTTTTTCTCGCCGTAAGAACCATCCTTGGACTTCAACGAACATTTATAAAAAAAGAATTGGCCAAATTGGTCCAGGCGTTGTTGAGTTATGCGCTTACCAACACATTTTGCGATTCATTTTTATATATAAGATATAAATCTTATTTTCTTATGCAGACATAAACTTCTCTTTCGACAAGTCAATAATTCTATTACCCCTTATCCCTTCAGGTGGAGCAGGATTCGTCCTTCAACGAGACGACCAACCCGCACATCGCCAACATAGGTCGCATGGTCGAAGACATGGAGAACAAGATAAGGAACACCCTGAACGAAATCTATTTCGGCAAAACGAAGGACATTGTGAACGGCCTTCGAAGTATCCAGCCCTTGTCTGACCAGAAACAGCAGTCGGCCCTCAAGCAGGACCTGTACGCAGCCCTTCAGAAGAGGAACGCCAAAGGGGACAACTGACTGTTCAAGTCCAACGATAACGAAGGAGGAGTGGACTATTATCCGGTGATGCAAGATATGGAATTTTATTAATTTATAAATGAAAGATGATGGATTGTGATAAAGGATATATGTATGTATATATTATGTTATATACATATTGTTGCATAACACGTATGGGTATGATTATTATAAGAAAAGTATGAGAGCACATCTTATAGTCCAGTCATTTGGTCGTTTTGCCGGTACAGTACTCCGGGAATTTTGAAAATTGGTAATCTTATAGATTTTGAGGTGCTATTTATGAAAATCAACTTTGCCACCTCAAATTTGAACGGCAAGTTGCCGCAATATTGAAAAAATGGCGTCAAAAAACAGCTTTTTTAAAATATCTCCTTTCTGGCTCATTCTACGATAAAAGTATCTATGTACGAATTAAACTAGAGAAAATTTCCTACAATTCTTTAGAAACCCGTTTTTTTGTAAAATTGATAGTTTGAGAGTACGGCCGCCTCAAAGTCTTTGCTGCTCTCGCCGTAGTATCAAATCTCTCCATGACAGCACTTTGAACTTGACCACATACCTTTTAATAAATAAATATTTTCAATGTTAAATTAAGCAAATAAGATCTAGAAACAAAATAATTCAAATATTTTTCTGTTGTTTTGCTTATTTTTTAACACTTCAAGCCACTTACTTATAGCTACTTTGCCATTGAAGTGTTAAAAAATCAGCAAAAAAACGAAAAATATTTGAATTATTTAATTTCTAGATCTTATTCGCTTAATTTAACATTGAAAATATTAATTATTAGAGAGAATGTGGTCAAGTTCGAAGTGCTGTCATATATGGAGAGATTTGATACTACGGCGAGAGCAGCAAAGACTTTGAGGCGGCCGTACTCTCAAACTATCAATTTTACAAAAAAACGTTTTTCTAAGGACTTGTAGGAAATTTTATCTAGTTTAATTCGTACATAAATACTTTTATCGTAGAATCAGCCAGAAAAAAGATATCGTAAAAAAGCTGTTGTTTGACGCCATTTTTCCATGGCGGCAACTTGCCGTTCAAATTTGAGGTGGCAAAGTTGACTTTCATAAAGAGCACCTCGAAATCTATAAGATTACCAATTTTCAGAATTCCCGGAGTACTGTACCGGCAACAGCCTTTTTTTGCACCAAATGACTGGACTATTATAGGACAATATGTTATTAATTAGGAGATTTAACATAAGTATTCATGGTCATCTATTCATATGCTCAAAATCATGATAGATTTGTTAAAAATATATTGAAACGTTTAGAAAAATTGTCAGTAGCTGACATTTTTATTTTATCATACTTTAAGATGTTTTTTGTAGCCAAGCCAATGAAGATTTTTAAGTCTTCAGAAACAGCTTCAATTTTTGTTCTTTTTGATATTAATTTAAATCAGAACGGGGATCTATTTTTTTTATTTGAACATGTATGCTATTTATATAAGAAATAAGTTGTGAGTGTTTTTTTTAAAAAAATAACTATTTTTATATATAAAATATTCATTAAATAAGTAATTAATTTTTGTGTTAAGGGGCACAACTAGTGTAACTGCCTAAAATAAAGGTGATTTTTGGGAATTTATATTAAAAAAACTACTTTATCAATAATTTCAACATTTTAGGAGTATATTTATACATGTTTCAAGAATACATAGTAAAATTTTTAGAAGAAAAGAATTAAATATTTTTTAAGTTATCGTCGCTAAAAAAAGGCCCTTAACTGCTGCAGTGATTCCGGCCTTCTACGTGGATGAAATTTAAAAAAAATTCTTGTTAAACTAGATAATATTGTCTGCAAAATGAACTACGATACAGAAAAAAAATCAAAAATTGACAAAATGGCGGCGTTTTTTAAAAAAAGTTGAATTTTACCCAAAATTTTGGTCGTTTTTGGACTGCCAAAATTCGATTTTTGATTCGATCAAAAAATCGATAGTTCATTTTATGGAGAACTATATAAAGAACATGTAATGAAAATTCGATAGTGATCGGATTCTTTGTTTTTGAGTAATCGTTGCAGCAAATTCGGAAAATGCTGTTTCGAGAAAAACGCGTTTAAAGATAAAATGATCGTTGTACTATATACTATATATATACTCTTCAAATGGCCGTGACTCAAAAACTATTTAAGATATCGGTTTAAAATTTTGGTATGTTATTTTTAAAGATATAACCAATCGAAATATGGAAAAATTGAAAGTTCGATTTTTTGAAAATTTCACACTAGTTGTGCCCCTTAAGTCTTCATAAACAGCTTCAATTTTTGTTCTTTTTGATATTAATTTAAATCAGAAACATTTCAAAACGGGGAAATATTTTTTTTATTCAAACGTATATGCTATTTACATAAGGAAATAATTTTTGAGTAATTTTAATTTTCTTAAAAAAATTATTATTTGTATTTAATTTTTGTGTTAAGAATTGCTATTGTAGGGGGTGTTCATTCGATATTCTATTGGTTGATATTAAAAATAGATTTTTTAAAAAAAATCTAGTTGTCTGTAGAATCCTCTTTTGATATTTCTTTTTTAGTTTGTTTGTCAGTAGAGTCCTTTTTCCCATTTTGGTTGATGTTAAATTTATTTGATATTCATTTTTAGGTTTTTTGTTAGCTTTTATCTTAACAACTTATAAACATTAGTATTTTTAATATTTAGTATATATATTAAAGAATGTCATATCCAAAATTTAAGGGTGTAGTACAAACGGTACGTCCTGAAGAGCTCGTTGATAATGACAAATAATAATAATGACAAAGTCGTTTTATTTTGGTATCAATTAAGGACGTTATACAGAAAATCTTGAAAAACTCGTAGTTTTTCTTAACAACTTATAAACTTTAGTATTTTTTAATATTTAGAATATATATTAAAGAATGTCATATCCAAATCTTAGGGCTGTAGCACAAACGGCACGTCCTGAAGAGCTCGTTGATAATGACAATAATAATGATAAAATCGTTTTATTTTGTTAGCAGAGTTTTCTTATTACACTTTTGGTTGACGTTAAATTTTATTGATTTTATTAAAAAAAATTAGAGGTGTTAAATTTATTTGATATTCTTTTTAAGTTTGCTTGTCAGGAGAGTCCTTTTTTTGTACTCTTGGTTGACGTTAAATTTAATCGATTATTTTAAAAATATTTTTTTAGTTTATTTTAGTTTATCTGTAGTTTTGTCTTTTTTGATAAAATTTATAAGGGGTATATAATGGTTTTTTCTTTTAAATCAATCAAATGGTTTCTCAAGTGTTTCAGTAATTTTTTTTTCTAGTTTGCTTGTCAGTAGAGTCCTTTTCTACAATCTTGGTTGATGTTAAATTTATTTCATAATTTTTTTCCAGTTTGCTTGGCAGCTGAGTCCTTTTCTGACATTTTTTCTGCATTTTTTGTTAATAGAGTCCTTTTTTGATTATAATTATTTTTTTTTATTTTGCTTGTCAGTAAAATCCTCATTTTACGGCAGTTGGTTGATTTTAAATTTATTTGAAAAATTTTCTTTTCAAGAGTTAACTTGTCAGTAGAGTTCTTTTTTACACTCTTGTTTGATGTTAAATTTATTTCTTTATATTTATTTTCAGTTTGCTTGTCAGTAGAGTCCTTTTCTACACTTTTGGTTCATGTTAAATTCATTCGATTTTTTCAAAATCTAGTTTTGCTTGCCAGTATAGTCCTTTTGTACATTCTTGATTGATTTTAAATTTATTTGAAATATTTGTTTCTGGTTTGCTTGACAGTAAAGTCCTTTTTGCACCCTTGTTTAATGTTAATTTTCTTCATATTCAAAAAATCCTTAAAAAATCGATCACATGACTAATGGACTCCCTCAGTAGAGTGCTTTTTTGATATTTTTTCTAGTTTTCTTGTCAGTAGAGTCCTTTTTTGATATTTTTATTCTAGTTTTTTTAGTAGAGTCTTTTTTTGATACTTTTTCCAGTTTGCTTGTCAGTAGAGTCCTTATTTACTGCCTTGTTGGTTGATGTTAACTTTATTTGAAGTATTTTTTTTCTGGTTTGCTTGTCAGTAGAGTCCTTTTTTACACCCTTGTTTAATGTTAATTTTCTTCATATTCAAAAAATCCTTAAAAAACGATCACGTGACTAGTGGACGCCCCCTTAGCTGCATCAAAACTTTTTATTTTTTTAAATCACAATTTCAAGATGAAAAACATTTTTGGTTTTTCACGAAAAGCACCTTTTTTCATATCTCGAAAAATATGAATAAAATAAAAATATAAATGATACAAAAATTGACAAAAAAAGACTTACATTTATATTCATATTTTTATTTTAGTTTTATTCAGAAATTTTATTTATATTATTTATTAATTTTATTCTTATTATTATTTGCTTTTATTTTATATTAAATTATCATACTACGGACTGTAATGTAAATTCTATCCTTCGCACTTTTATTTATTTAAATTTATATTAGATAAAGAATATCATTATTGCATTTAACATTATTGCATTTAACAGTTGTAATAAATATTGAAATTAAAAAAAAAATCATATTTTACGAGAAATTATGATGTACATATTAAATAGTTAATAGCAACTGTACTTATAATAACTATTCTTAACAAGAAAATTAATGCACAAATATTTTTTTCAAATACAACTACCCTAAAAACTTGCATAAATAACATACATAATAAGAAAAATATTTCCCCCATATGAAATGATTTTGAATAATACTAAAAAAAAATCAAAATTGGAGCTGGTTTTGAGGACTATTTATTCGGCTATTGTTAAAAATTCTTCTTCATCCTCCAAATCTTGCATAAATAACATACATAATAAGAAAAATATTTCCCCCATATGAAATGATTTTAAATAATACTAAAAAAAAATCAAAATTGGAGCTGGTTTTGAGGACTATTTATTCGGCTATTGTTAAAAATTCTTCATCATTCTCCAAATCTTGCATAAATAACATACATAATAAGAAAAATATTTTTCCAATATGAAATGATTTTGAATAATACTAAAAGAAATCAAAATTGGAGCTGGTTTTGAGGACTATTTATTCGGCTATTGTTAAAAATTCTTCTTCATCCTCCAAATCTTGCATAAATAACATACATAATAAGAAAAATATTTCCCTCATATGAAATGATTTTGAATAATACTAAAAAAAATCAAAATTGGAGCTGGTTTTGAGGACTATTTATTCGGCTATTGTTAAAAATTCTTCATCATTCTCCAAATCTTGCATAAATAACATATATAATAAGAAAAATATTTTTCCCATATGAAATGATTTTGAATAATACTAAAAGAAATCAAATTTGGAGCTGGTTTTGAGGACTATTTATTTGGCTATTGTTAAAAATTCTTCTTCATCCTCCAAATCTTGCATAAATAACATACATAATAAGAAAAATATTACCCCCATATGAAATGATTTTGAATAATGCTAAAAAAATCAAAATTGAAGCTGGTTTTGAGGACTATTTATTCGCTTATTGTTAAAAAGTCTTCTTCATCCTCCAAATCTTGCATAAATAACATACATAATAAGAAAAATATTTTTCCCATATGAAATAATTTTGAATAATACTAAAAAAAATTAAAATTGGAGCTGGTTTTGAGGACTATTTATTCGGCTATTGTTAAAAATTCTTCTCTATCCTCCAAATTTTGCATGTACCAAGTCGTCTGCATTTATGGCCTATACATATTTATTAACCATGTTAAAATTTTATTTTCTCCTCCCATTATAGATTATCCATCATCTGATCATTCATATAGAATCTATTTCCCTCAGATCATATATTTTTATTATATAGCGAATGAATGAGGTCAAACAAAATGCTTCCTGATAAATCGTTCCTTCTCGTCCCCCATGACATTTGATTTGGATGCACACTTTTGTATATAAACACACGTACGATTGTAAATTTATATCGCTAGAGGCTTTTTGAGGTATTAAGTGAGATGGACTTGAATGGTTAAGTAAGAAGAATAGTAGATTTACTCGTCTGGGATAAAAAAATAGAGTGGTCCTTGATTTGGATGTTTTCGAATTTTTTTGCTCCCAGGGGCTCAAAAAATAAAAAACAATTGTCTGAAAGTTTTAAGTCTTAAGAGGGTATTCTAGTGTAGAGCGATGAATTTTAGGTCATTTTTAAAGTGTCGTAAAAGAAAGCAATGAATGTTTTTACTATCCATTTTTTTACCACTTGTTTATTAATATTATTAAAATACAAAACAAAAATTAAAAAATAAAAAAGTTGAAAATTGTAAAAACTGGCAGCTGATGAAGCGGGTGGTCTCAAAAAATTGGCACCTCAGTCTTGACATGATTTCAGCCCTTCTAGCCATCGAAAATGCAAAAAATAAAACGATTATTAATCTACAATGATTGTCGCAATCGCCTGAACTAGCGATGAGTGAAAACAATTTTTTTTACAAATTGGCGACTGTTTGAAAAATAAAGTATTTTTTTTACTATTTTTTTGAGTTTCTCAATTTTTTTAAAAATAGTAAAAATTTGAATTCGAGGATAATCCTAGTTCCGGCTATACATAGGTCTATAAACAAGACTCTCTGAACATTTCAAGTGAATCGGTCGATTAAAACTCCAGAAATCGTGTCAACAGTACTGAAAGTCTGTTCTGAGAAAAACGCATTTAAAGTTTTGTGTGAAGCCAAACTAGTATGGAGATCGAGTCAGTAAAATGCTTATATCTCCAAAAATAATTCAAAATTTCGAAAACCTTCTCGTACCCATATTCTTAGATAGTTAAACTTTGAAAATATGAAATAAAAAAACGATTTTTTTGAATTTCTACACTAGAATACCCCCTTAATATTGACATTTAGATATTCCGCAAGTTTTAACCAACTGTCAAAAAGCTATGTATTTGCTATGCGATCAGGTTTTACACATAAAAACTAACCTCCAAAAGGCGCAAACGCCAGATAACAATTTTATCATAAGTACAACTTTCTGACTAACACATAGGTGAAATTAGGTGAAACAACTAATATAAAAAAATAATGACGACTTGCTGAATCTTGTTTCATTCAACTTCATTTTTCTAGTATGTAAAAGTAGCCTATATACTTTTTGACAGTTTGTTATTGCCAATTCATACGAAGATAGACCCGTAACATGAAAATATCATTACGATAACATTTTTATTTAAATTTACCAAATGAGTTCACAGTCTGAGCATTTTATCTGGTGGTCCTTAATATGGATATTTTCGCTCTTTTTTGATCCCAGGGGCTCAAATGCTTCCAAAATGATAGAAAAAAACAATTTCTGAAAGTTTTAGCTTTTAATATTAATTTTAAGATAGCCCTCAATTCAATCAAAGTTTGTTACGGAAATAACATGGGTAAAACTCTATTTATTTTTTAGATTTTTATGACAGCGACAAGTGAATCAAAATTTTGAGATTTTACATTGTATTTGCTTAATTTGATCGCAAATACAGGAATTTACCACAACAATTTAATATATTTTATAAAATAAGTATTTACTTGGGAAGAACTAAGAAATTTTGGTGGTTGGAGTGCGGACTATCTTAAAGTTAATATTAAGGGCTAAAACTTTCAGAGATTGTTTTTTTTTGTTAACTTGGAACATTTGACCTATATATATATATATATATATATATATATATATATATATATATATTTGTAATATTTTTGCAGCCCAATCGTCGAATTAAAAAAAGATTAAATAACAAAATTATTTATTCCATTAAACGTTTCGACACTTGATGTGTGTCATCATTCAGTAATCTAAAAAACATATAACATAAATACAAAGTTGATGATAAATATAAATATATAAAAAAGGAGGAAATTATACATACCAAACCAGGAAAAACAACAGAAAAAATTAATTATGATGTAAAATTGATTGAACACTAAATTTGTGTAAAATAATAATATACTATTATATTAACAAACGAGAAATTGAAGGAGCACATATTTCCCTCCTATATTTTATGTTATTAATAGCGGTGCATTATGGACACTGATCAAGGTTACAACGCAAGTGTTTTTGATTTAAGAGAAGAAAAAAGGCAACTGAAAGTGTTGTCAAAACTGAAAACCAAAAGAAAATCTTCAGCGGCAAATAATTTTTTCAAAGAAAAATTGCTTAAGAAAGGTAACAAATAACACCTTTATATTTATTTAAAGAGGAAGAATTAGGTTTTGAAAAAGAATTGTTAAGATAGGAAGAACTGTTTAAATTGTTTTGTAAAAACTCTAATCTATTTTTAATGACGTTATCAACTAAATATGAAGGATAAGAATTATTATTCAAAACAGAACGAACTAAAGATACGTTTTTTTCCCAAAAAATCTTATCACTTAACAAAATGGCCCTATCTATTAAGGAAATGACAACCGAAATTTTGATAGAACGAGAGTGATAGGAAAAATAATTTGAGAAGGAATCATTTGAGCCCCTGGGAGCAAAAAAATCTAAAATATAAAAGTTAATATTAGGAGCTAAAACTTTAAATGAATTGTTTTTTATTAATTTGGAAGCATTTGAGCCCCTGGGAGTGAAAAAAATTCGAAAATATGGTGCGCGGACTATCTTAAAGTTAATATTAGGAGCTAAAACTTTCAGAGAATTTTGTTAATGGGTCATTCTTTTACAAATCGTACAAATTTTCGCAAAAATAAAATGTCACATTATAGAATTGTCTGAATTTTTTTTACAGATATTATACATAAAATCATTTGACACGCATTTCAGGATTTTGCTGAAAAAAAATTTTTTACGTAAATATTTACGATTGAAATATGGATTTTTTGCTCAATTTTTATAAACATCATCTGCGGTAAATTAATTATCTCCGGATGTGCTGATCGGATCAGTATTATTATTTTTTTTATTACACTCATATTGAAGTGAACTTTGTAATGATTAAAAAATTTTTTTTGTTTTTGCAATTTTCTTAATAATAACAACCCTTAAATGTTTACAAAGGTTTACTCAGCTTTACCCCAACTTGAATTGATCCAAAAAAGAACATATTTTTTCGTTTTTTCTCGGCAACAAAATTCTATTTACAATTTCTTGGAGATTTTTTTACATCGAAAGATATTAAATATTTTCAAGTGCGAGCCGCGCTTTTCACGTCGCGCACTCATTTGTCACTTTCGAATGACAATATTATTGTTTTTCGGTTCAAAAATATTTTATAATTATGCTTCTGGCGAAAAATGAATATATAATAATCTAAAAAAACATTAGGGGAGAGCGGAGCATAAAAGTTCGTGGGTAAAAAGATCCACTGCCAATATCTCAAAAACATGTAAAGTTATTAATTTTTTAACAACAATATTTGAATGTAGACGGATTGTTCAGTTAGATTTTTCTAATTATAAAAAATGTTTTTCAGCTATTTTTGTAAAATTCGTCATTTTGCGTCTTGACTTTCAGAGAATTTTATTATATCAATTTGGAAGCATTTGAGCCCCTGGGAGCAAAGAAATTCGAATACATCCATATTAAGGACCACCCTAATAAACAAAGTGGTTTACTATTTTATGCTGAAACTGAACAAAGTTTCAGCTAAATCCCAAGACCAGTAAAGGTTTTGACAAAAGTAAATTTGTTACCCTTACCCCTTCAGTCCTTCTTGTAAATAAGAATTTGTAAGATATTTTTATCCTAAAGGCATGTCAATATTTATGTCAATACACATAGAATATATATGTTATAAATCTATTACGATTAAAATAAAACAACAAAAACTAAAACACAATTTATTATTACTTATAAACCGGTATCGACATCAACTTCTTATAATACTCGATTTTTCTAGCAACGGACATGTCGATCAACCTGTCTCCGATCTTGATAATTAGGCCACCGATTATTGAAGGATCCACAACTAGTTCCATTTGCGGTTTGTCGCCGAATGCTAGGAATTTCTCTAAGGTTTCCTGTAAATTGGCTGTTTGTTCTTCGTCCAAATTAATTGCAGAGGTTACTCTGACCACTACTTCGCCTCTGGCGGATTTCATGAGCTCGTCGAATTGGTTGACCATAAGTTTTAGGTGTTTTAGGCGATTGTTTTCGGCGACGATTTCTAAGAAGTTGGCTATTGTGTTCGTCATCCCGGCCTGGGTAAAAGATAAACTAAGATTAAAAATTACTTGATGATGAGGAATATCTAGGTCGAATTAGGAAATGTAATAAATAATAATGTTTGGGGCTCTTCCACGTGGATGAAGCAAAATTTTGTGACGTGTATGTGAAAAATAGGAAGGCGTAGAAATTGATTTTTAATTTTAGTCTAAAAACTAGCTGTAAGTGGAATTCTGTCTTGAGGCAATTATGGCATCGTGCCTTAAGGCAAATTGCTGAAACTTCCCGTACCGTAACAAAATGTTCGAGGAATACTGAATGTTTTCAAATAGATTATTATTAATATTGTAACATTGTCTAATATTTATAAGAATTATATAAACTGAATTGCAAAGCTAAAATTATTTGTTTAAAGTATATTAGAACTATATTCAGAATTAAAAATAAAATCTGAATTATTTTCGATATACAAAAAATTTAAAAAAAAAAAGTTGAAACAAATTTTTTTTTCCAAAATCATCTATTTTGTTAAGACAAGCAGGAAGTTCTTTAACTCATTTAAATCGGACGCTTAGTTCTCTCAAAAACTTCCATTTTTTACATATTTAGCTCCGTATCTTCGAAATGGCTGGGCCTGCCTTTGCCAAAAACTATTAAACACTTCTCCCAATCATTACTAATTGAATGTTTTTTAGATCATTCAAATCGGATACTCCGTTCTCTCAAAAAGTCGATTTTTATTTTCTGCACTCTTTGCTTCGTATCTCCAAAATGGCCAGACCTGCCTTTGCCAAAAACTAGTCAGCTCTTTTCCCTATTAATAGGTATCGAATGTTTTTTGAACCATTCAAATCGGTTGATCCGTGCGCCCGAAAACGTGACTGGAAATTTGTATCCACACATACATACACACACACACACACACATCCATTTTTTCTGAGGTATGCCAGTAAAGTGTTCAGGAACCTTCTAAACGTCGAGAAATGCAAAAATTTTCATTCTCGCTTTTTGGCCCATTTCTATAACTACCCCACGGGAAGTTAAAAAAATCACTTTCTTATTTATGTGCTTTTTGTTTTCCCGACGCCTATTATCATCATGAAATTATTTAGGTTTTCTTATTTTGAATTACGTATACGAACCATATCTAGGAATAATGCCAGCGATTAATTTATATACCAGTTAAGTAAACAAGATGCTAGTTTATCGTATTTATCTATGTTATATACTGTACAAGTACTGCCTTCTTCAGAGCGCTGTATAAATTAAAATGGAGGTAACGTCAAATGGCATGAGATAGCGATCTATTTATTTTTATTCATCTATGCTCTGCTCTTACGGTTGGCAATAGTGACATTAGATTAAAGCGAGGCAAAGTTACGAAACGAACTTCGTTCAACTGTCAAGCAAATTGATGTACCGAAAGTACATTTTGTATCCATTTTGTATTTAGCTTATTTAATTGTTAATTAAATGTCATCATAAGTGTATTATATATAAATTTGAGTATAAATATAACATTGTATATTATAAAGACGTATTTGTGATTGATTGACAAACATAAAGGTAGCGTAAAATACTTTGAAGTTCTTCCACGTGTTTAACTTTTAGTTATATTTACTTTATTTAGAAAGAACTATAAATAATGCAAAATTATTGCTTAATTTCACCTTTACATTTCAGCTCTGCAATAAGGCAAAAGCTTTGAACAATAGTTGATTCATATTTACTGTCCGTCAAATATAAAGTATTTTAAAGAAGGAATTATCTTGGCGACATACATCATTCAAAATACACTTGTGTTAAATTAACGTAAGATTATATTCATAGACAAAATCATAATATGAATATATTATATTCTCAGAACCATTTGTGTTGACAGTTTAGAATGATTATTAATTTAAACATTCATTCCTGTAAAATGTTACGAGAGCATAAACGCAATGCACTCTCTAAAGTTATACTCCATGCTCCAACTGTCAACAGCTAATGTTCTAGTGAAATTAATTATCATATTTAACAATAGTTCATTCAAACTAACCAACTATTTTTGTTAATGCTTATAGAACATACTCAGTGCACAAATATGTCAAAATGTCTGATGTTGCTAATGATCCGATAGTTAAAATTGAACCGCAAGAATATCCAATCGAAGACATTAAACGGGAAATTGAAGAAGATTATGAATCGTGTTCAGAGGATGACAAAACATGTCTAAAGAGATTTAAGAACTCAATAGTAAAAATAGAAGAAGTCAAACAGGAATTAATTCAGACTGCTCCTTATAAATGTGACAAGTGTAATAGAACATTTAGAAAGTTGCTTTATTTAGAACAGCATATGGTGAATTATTGTCATAAGTATACATATTGTTCAGAGACTTTACCAGATGCATGTGCATTAGGAATACACATAGAATCTCATACAGGTGAAAAACATTTCACATGCACAAAGTGTGATGAAGCATTTACTGAACAATATCATTTAGATCAACACAGTTGTGCTCCTGCAAGAGAACAAATTTCACATTTGAATGAATCTGGTAATCAAAAACGAAATATTCGCGCTCATACTGCAAGGAAGCCAGGTAAACAAGTTTGTGACAAGAAATTCACACAATTGGGTGCTTTGAATCAACATATGCTTATTCACACTGGCAAACGTCCTCATGTTTGCCAAATTTGTGACAAGAAATTCACACAATCGAGTAACTTGAAAAGACATATGCTCGTTCACACTGGTGAAAGGCCACATATTTGCAAAATATGTGATCAGGCATTCAATCATTTGGGTAACTTGAATCAACATCTACTCATCCACGCTGGCAAAAGACCCCACATTTGCCAAATTTGTGATATGACATTCACACAATTGGGTACCTTGAATAGACATGTGCTAATTCACAATGGGGCACGTCGTGAAAAATGTAAGTTATGTGGTAAGACATTCACACAATTGTCTCACTTGAATCAACATATGCTCATTCACACTGGCGAACGACCTCACACTTGTCAAATTTGTGATAAGAAATTCAGACATTCGTGTACCTTGAGAAGACATATGCTCATTCACACTGGCAAACGTCCACACGTTTGCCTAATTTGTGATAAGGCATTCATAAATTTGTCAAACTTGAAACAACATCTGCTCATCCACACTGGCAAACGTCCGTACATTTGTCCAATTTGTGATAAGACATTCACACAATCGTCTCACTTGAAAAACCATAAGCTCATCCACACTGAAGAGCGCGCCTTCAAATGCAAAATCTGCGATAAGGTATTCAAACAATCACGTACCCTGAAAAAGCACATGGTTGCTCATACCAATGAGTAATTAGTATTTACAAAATTAGTTAAAAGGTTACATATGACTGCTTATAGAAATTAATTAATTAAATTAAAGATATATGAATTAATTAATATATATACATATATTTATATATTGTCAAATAAATAAACATGGTTATCAATGACTTGTGTAATTATTTTGTTAATAATATTTTATATCCATCCCAGGTTTAATAAGGCTTGCAATTGAGCCATAATTGTTAGTAGAATCTTCTCAAAAAGGTTACTTTTCAACGTCCTGCAGGGTTAGTTATAGCAATCGTTCAAAAATCTAAATAAACATTTTTTGCATATCTTGGCCAAAAGAAACGTTTTGAAAGTTTCTGAATATTTTGGAATACATTAGAAAAAATGTATTTTTGTGTGTGTGTGCGTGATTTTTAAGTAAAACTTCTTCAGGCGCGACAAGGGTGTAAATCCGTACAAATGCAACGGAAAAAGCCAATGATTCGTCATTCGTCTCGATGATATCATTTCTATATGAGTCGATTGTAATTGGTCGTCATGTCGCTCGAAAATGATTGCTTTGATTGTATAGTGAAACTAATAAAACAAATGAAATATTTGTGCCTTGTACGAAACGTAAGTTTATTGAAGGAATTTGTATTATTCGTTGTTATACTATGTATACATATAAATTATTTTACTCTGAACAGGAGATCAAGCACAACAATAGTTTGTGTAGCTGTGCATCGTTATATACAGATATACTTCATAATGGACATATATGCAGTTATTTCATTGATAGTGTTAATGAAATTGTTCAAGATTGTTATAAGTTTACTGTGTGAACCAATATTATAGAATTCATTAATCATACTTCATTTGTATAAAGAAGATTCAAGTCGTATATGCTAATTACAATGACAAACCGATCATGCCGCATTTGAAGTATGACTTTAACTACATTATTGTTTTCAAATATTATAAATATATAGTTTATTGTTACTTAAAAATGTATCATGATTGACATTAACATTTATGCGTCGTGAGTATTACCATATTACTAACAAACATTATTCAAAATTGTTTTATGATGTATTTATTTTACTTAAATGCCATCTCGTACAGGAGCAAAATAGTTTTACTTCAATCGCGGACTTTTTAACTTCCCGTAGGGTAGTTATAGTAATGGGCCGAAAATCGAAAATGAAAATTTTTGCATTTCTCGACGTTTTAAAGGTTTCTGAACATTTTTAAGGGGCATACCTCAGAAACTAAATGGATGTGTGTGTGTGTGTGTGTGTTTTGTGTGTCCGCATTTTTTCGTCCACGTTTTCGGGCGCACGGATCAACCGATTTGAATGGTTTAATAAACATTCGATCGCTATTGATAGGGAGATGTGCTGATTAGTTTTTGGCAAAGGCAGGTGCAGCCGTTACGGAGCAAAGAGTGCAGAAAATAGAAATCGAGTTTTTGAAAGAACGGATCATCCGATTTGTATGATCCAAAAAACATTCAGTTCGTAATGATGGGGAAAAGTGGTTATTAGTTTTTGGCAAAGGCAGGTCCAGCGGTTTCTGAGATACAGAGCTAAATGTTGAAAAAATGGCAGTTTTTGAAAGAACTAAGCGTCCGATTTAAATGATTCATAGAACTTTCTGCTTGTTTCAACAAAATAATTGCGTTTGGAAAAAAAATTTGTTTTTAATTTTTCCAAAATGCATTAAGAATTCAAAAAATTACCCAGGCTAAGCACAGTCTAAGCGCCACTCTGGTACAAATGTTTACCCAAGTGCGTTTAGACTGTTTATGTACGGGAGCACTTTTCCAATTTTGTGAAAACTATTGAAAAATGTGAAAATGCCGCCAAGCTAAGAACAGTATAAGTGAAAATGTCGCACACAATTATGCGACAAATGCGTTTAGACTGTGACTATATGGGAGCACTTCTTCAATTTTTTTTGAAATTGAATTCGAAATGAAATGACGATTGTTAATGTTCTGGAGATTTGCTCAGATATAACAATAAGATAGCAAAAATAATAAAAGTTACTGTATTTGTAATAATATATTTGAAAACGTTTAAAATTTCTCGAATATTTCATTACGGTACGGAAAGTTCCAGCAATTTGCCTTAAGGCACGATGCCATGAATAAACCCCACTAGTTTATTTCCTTTGTTGGAAGTCGTATCACCTTAATATATAGTGTTAAGAACTATTATGTATTTATTATAATATTTTATGTTTAACACATTTTCATTAAAATATGTTTGTAATTTAATCTCGGTACCATTTATATAAAACTTTTATAACTCGACCCTTATCCGACAATAAGGGTCGAATCAGGTTAAAACTGATTATTATGGAGCGGGAGTTAGTTATGTTGGAACCGCCAACAAGGACAGATTAAAAATATTAACACCCAATAATGTAAGTTACAAATTAAAATAAGTAAATCTTAAAAAGTGTTTGTTTTTACATATCAAGAAGAGAACCCATAATTAATATATCTTCAATAATACTATCCCCCGCTTACTTACCGCTAAGGCCGCCTCCCTAAGGATCTTCGCCTTCGTCCTTCTTGATGATCGGAATCCTTATGAACATAGTCAGGGCGCCTGCCGTTTGCTGAGATCATGTTTCAGCTTCCTCATGTCTTCGGCGGCTTTTTCCAGCGTGTCAACCTTCGTGGCGGCCACGAACAGGGCCGTAGCATATCTACCACTAATTCCGTGCAGATCTAATGGAACTTCGACTCTGTTTGTAGAAGATTCAGACGCACCGTTGGAATAATATTTAAAACACGAAGGTAATAAATATTTTATCAATTTATTATTAATTGATAAGACAGAATTCATTATGACGGATAGATGATAATGGATAGGTATTGTTCTTTTGTTTTTTGTTTAGTTGTGTCATTTGCATGGTGATGTTCACTGCAGTGAAAATAGATGCAGCAGAATGACTACATGGGAGTATATTTGTCCCGAAATGTTGTAAGTTGTCTAGAAATATTGTAGATTGTCTGAAAGTGTTGTAAATTGTTTGTAAAGACAGTAATTAACTTTAAATTATCGTTATAATATTATCGGTTGGTATAATATTATAATAAGGCTTAAGCCAATATTTTATAGGTTTAATATAATTCAATTAATTATTAGCTATTTTATTACTCATTTATTTATTAGGTAATTATTTACTATAAACTTATTTATTTAGCTAATTTAATTATTTTTAAATATAGTTTGTTTGTTGCAAGTATTTTTTTGAAGTAAAACTTCTTTAGGCGCGATATGGGTGTAAAAATTTTTGGGCGCGACACGGGTGTAAATCCGTACAAATGCAACGAAAAATGCCAACGTTAGTTTGAACACTACGACGCCGTAAGCGCTGATGTCGCGAGTATCCTTTGGCGCGAGTCATGTCATGCGTAAGTCGAGCGCTAAACCCTATATGAACTTGCATTAATTGAATCACGTTTTTTTACAAAAGAAGAGGTTGCTGTATTATGTCCTCATGGAATAAGACTTTTCTTAGAGAA